TATGATTCTATGATTCTATGAATAATGGTTAAGAGGAAAAGCTCGGTAAAAAAATTAAGCTTAGGATAAATTGTCAGGTAACTGCAAAATAGGTAGTGTTTGGGAGTAGAAAATAGTAAGGTAAAGTGATGGAAGAACTGGGGGAAAAAAAAGAGGAACATTATTGGAAATTTATTTATCCCTAATTCCATGCAAGCCATGAAAGTTGGATGTGCAAAACCATAGTCAGAATCTTAGTCATTTAGAAGAGCTAACTCTTACATATTACTCTTTATTTAGAAGAATCATCTCAGAATTAAAAACAAAATAAGTATAATTGATTCTAACATAAGTGACAGTGGATTTTCTCTTTTTAAAACAACTTTCTATGTCTGCAGGCACTTGGAGGTGTCCCAGGAAGTCAGCCATTATTGCCTAGTGGGATGGACCCAACACGGCAGCAAGGTAAAGTACATTTATAGAATAATTATATTGAAAGCTCAAAAGTACCATGATCTCAGACTTTATTCTTTCTATGTTTAAAAGTTTACTGCAGTTTTCTAAGCTCTTCATTAAACTAAGAAAGAGTGATTTGTTAAAGCTTTTTCCAAAGATGCTTCTAAATTACATGGTTGTTCAGAATACTTAATTTTTGTTTCAGGGCATCCAAACATGGGTGGTCCAATGCAGAGAATGGCTCCTCCAAGAGGAATGGTTCCTTTAGGACCGCAGGTACCTTCCACAGATTTATATCCATTTATTTTGACAGGATCTATCACTATAGTGTTTTTGGAGTTGAAGACTTAGTGTGCTAGAAACTGCTTGTCTTACTCCATTTTAAAATAAATTGTATTTCTTTTAAAAAAGTTAATTCTGAGTTGCAGTTCTATAGAATCTCAAATTCAAAAAAACAGTTATTTTAATTAACAATTGAAATTATAAGTTGCTTCAGAAAAGTTATGTTTGTGCCACAGCCTGTGTATGTTGTAATCAAAGGTAAAATTTGTAAAGGAGTACAGGGATTGAGGAGATGTTTCCTTATCCTCCCAGTCTAATTAATGTAACTGTTTGGGAGGGAAAAAATCCATCTCACAATGCAACTAAATTAGTTAAACTCCTTGTAGCAAAAAAAAATCCCCCAAAATTCCTGCAAAGATTTTTCTTCATCTGCTAGAATTCTGGTGAGTGCCAGAGATCTTCTGCTGTAGAATTTAAAGTTTATGCTGCCATTTCTCCTCCTTATCAATCATAAGCATAGCTCTGTTTTCAAGGAGTGAAGCAACCTTGAATTGCATGAATCAACTTTCCCCCCAGTGCTGACCTGTTTGTATATGAATTTTTTCTTTGAAAGTATAAAAATATCAATGGATATCAGTGTTACGGTTTAATAAAAAATTAAGATAAAAAATAAATTAACACTGATGTATACCTGAGAAATGAATCCAAAAGATTTTTTTTTGTTAATTCTCTTGGTGAAATACTACTTTGATGGTGTTTTTACAGGTCTTGCTAGTATGTTGTTCTCCAGTGTGCTCATTGTGCCCACATTTAAATTTTTATTTTCCAATTTCAGATAATTTCTCTAGTGACTTCTTTGTTCCTTGGAATAGCAACTGAATTTTAAATGCTTAAATAGATTTGCCTTTATTTCTGTTCATAACTGCCTTTACAGTTTTGGGTCTTCGTGATAGAAACTAATTGTGCAGTTCTACACAACATCTGTTGTGTGACCAACAAACTGTTATTAAATACATTTGTTAGTTTTTCTGTAGGTTTGAAGTATATTTACCACTTGCCTTTTGGAGGTAGAAAGCAAAGCTTTGCAGTGCTGCCATATGAGGTTGAGCTGATACTTTATGCAGCACCATTAGTCACACAGCAGGCAAATCTCATGCCAGTTTTTACAAGGATGATTTTTCCATTTTTGCTGTCTCTTAAAATCCTAGGTTTTTTGGTAAGATTTTTCTTTCTTTTGCTGAACAGCATCTTAAAATGGGGAAAAATACAGCCAATCTACCACAAATTTAAGTTCCCAAATCAATCTTTTTCTACAGATGAATCACCATCTATCCTTGTACCTTGCTGCTGGGAACTTCTCTGAAAGCTATTGAAAAGAAAAACCCACCAAAGTGATAAGATTTTTCACACTTATTTTCAGGTCCTCGTTAGTAGGTGTTAAGTGGGAAGCCCTGCTCCCTTACTGCCTAAGTAGGAAAAAAAAAGGAAACTCTTAATGTGTGGATACAGAAAGGATTCTGTGAAATGCAGCATGTATTTGTTTGCTTCCCAGCTGATACAAAGTTCTACCAGTGGGAACTTTTCAATGCCCATATGATGTCTGCACTATATACTTATAGCAATAAAAATCAGGACAGTAAGCAGTTTCTTTCATTATAAAGCCATACCTCATGTAGCGTGACTAAAGTCTCCCCAAAACAGAAGAGTTACCTCAGTTTATTTATTTATTTATTAGGGCTAAACTTTCTCAAACTAAGCAACGTGAAGCAAAAAAAGCCGTATAGGGTCATAAATGAGTCTGTCAACACTTCCAAAGGATGTGATTCAGGCTTTTTCAAGCAGCAGTTATGCCAGCTGAACAGGCTGCTGCCTCAGATCTGTGCCTGGCTATTGATTCCCCATCTCTCATATTAACTGGTGAACTAATGTATTATAGTCAAAAATAACTGGGTTATCTTAAATATTTAAAAATATTGATTGATCTGGCTTATTTTGACCACCAGCTGTTAGGTGACATCTGTGATAAATTAGTGATAAATAACTCAACCACAAGATCAACCATGGCGATGGTGACTACAAGTAAATAACTGTAAGGAGCAAATTAGGGCAATAACCTGTGCAAGGAGCATAGCTGCAACTGTGTGTCAATGATCGTAATGAAAATGCTCTTTAGGAGCAAGAAGCTTTTCCAGTCCTGCAGGATTCAGTAAAGAACTTTAACCCAAGTCTGCACAAATGAGCTAAAATTAAGAGAGGAGACATCTGACAGATCAAATAAGGAGAATAGTTTAGCCCTACAACTCAAGATGAAAAGAAGGAGGGGGAAAAAAAAAGTCCTACTTTGTTACAATAAGTCTGTGTCCTCTTCCCGATCCATTAGTGGTGGCACTGAAGCTGTTGCTGTGCCCAGCTGCTTTTTCTACCCACAATTAATTGCCTTGCAGTTATGACCTAGGAGTTGTTAGTGTGAATGTCCTCTAATCTGCATCAGGCAGATTATCTAGGATAAATCAGGTTAAGTGCTTTGAGTTAATCTGATTTTTTCTCAGCGTGCACATCAATCAGTTTGCTGGCTGTACAAGAAAAGGCAAAAATGAGTAGTGGTTGATGGCCAGCAACTATTGACTGATGTGATCTTCAGGTGACACTGTTGGATTTGGCAGAGGACATCTGTTTGCAGCCTTTTCACCTATTTTTGCAAACAAGCTAACTATGAGACACTTTGGGGACTGTCTAATAAGGAAGCAGAACCTTGTCCCATGGTTCTGGATCAGCTGTAGATCTAGGTAAATGTTATGGCTTGAATCACTCGACGTATATGCAGCACCAGGCCAAAGCTCATGATCCCATTTCTCCCAGAGGTTCATGACTTCATGTTAACATGTACTTGTATACCAGTGTAGAGAAAACCCATAGATTTGAGTCATAGAGTTTATGCAGTTGATAGTTTGGATATATAGTTTGTAGGATAACTATTACTGTTTTTATTGGAAAACAGCAGCAATTACTTTTTATAAGTAAATGATTTTCTTGCCCTCTTTCCAAGTGCCCAGCTGTTCATTTTAGAGCATACGCATTCACTAAAGGAATTATTCCTTTGGAATATCAGAAAAAATATAGCAGGATTAACACAAACTAGTGTGTGAATTAATGTTGTGAGATGAGGTAGATTATTCAGCTTGCATTCATTTAAATAAAAAAAATCTAATTTCCTTTTTTTATAAATAGTAAAATTGCTAGACTTTTCTCATAAAATCATCAAAGCATGAGCTCTGATTATATAGACCTTGGGCAATTCATTTATTAGCATTGTTATGACATTCAATACCATATTAAATAATTTTCATACTAGTTACCTTAAAGTGATGAGGATAGGTTCATTAGAAGCGATATGTAGTGGTTATTTTGTATGTTATAAAAGTGATATCATATATTGTAATTTCATAGAACCATTTATTGATGTACTATTTATTAATAGAATCTAATTAAAATATTTTAAATAATTTAAATTCCATAATGTTGAAATCTCAGAAAAGTCCATGTTTCTGATTTTGAATGAGCTTTCCTGATACCAAAGTTGAATACATACAAAACCTGCCCCACAATGGACATTGATTTAACCTTTGTATATGTAAGTAATTCCTCCTGAAATAACAGCCTTTTTAAGTATTCTTAGCATGTTCCTATTGTTTGAATAGAACATAAAAAAGTAATATTGTTATCCCCAAGGAAAAAGAATTATAAGTCAAGAATGGAAACTCCTGAAACGATGAATTACATTGGCCTATCCATTCAGGAGTTATGTAGGGATATCATTAACCTGTTGTCCTTTCTTTCCCCCTCTTCTTTGGTTTTGTTTTTTTTGTTTTGTGGTAGTCTGATCCTTGGTTATCATTGCAGAACTATGGAGGTGCAATGAGACCCCCACTGAATGCTTTAGGTGGCCCGGGGATGCCTGGAATGAACATGTAAGCACAATAAAATAAGCAACAAAGTAACATTTGTGATGTGTAAGACAAGGGAGTATGTGTTTTGGGTAGTAACATGCAATTAAAAAGAGGTAAACCTACAGCAGTTTTGTTCTTCTGCATACATTCCTTACAGGCTC